GCACAGTTATAAAGAGGCACAAGTATTTTTGGCACATATAATATGGCAGCTTACCGAGTGTTCCCTCAGGAATGACTCCTGGGGGACACTGGTAAGCTGCCCAACACTTCCCTCACCCAATCAGCTCGCGCCCCTCCCTGTCAGAGTGGCGCGGACCGCGGGCGAAAAGAGCGGCAAAATTGCCCTCAGTTAAGATGGCCGCCGCGATGCGCGAGTGCGGACCGCGCATGCGTGAGCGGCAGAAACGGCCGCCAAAGAAACAGCCGCCCGTCCGGCGGCGAAACGGCTCGTTCCGGGCCGGGGGGGGTGAGGGGGGGTGGGGAGGGGATGCCTGAGTGACCCCCACCCGGGGAAGTGGAATGAGGGACGGGTAATAAACAACCCAAAAACGGCAGTGCAGGATGGGGCTTGCCTCAGGGAGGAGGCAAGCACCCTGCACTGGGAACCGGAGTAAAAACAAACAGCAGTCAAATACACATACAAAATTGAATAATAGACAAAGAAAAACAGATATATAAAAAAGAACAGTAGAAAAACAATAATAATATGAATCAGGAGAAACTGAACAACACAATATTTGAGGAGCTGAAAAATATGTGGTACTTAGCTGAGGCAGCAGCAAAGAAAGAGGAAGTAGTTTACCTCACATGAAGGGATATAGTACAAGGACTGATCCTATTGGTTAATGGATATGGAATGTTATATGGTTAACCCTTAAGGGTATTTGTTTTATTTTTGTTATTGCTATATTAAAAAATATCAATATCCTTTCTTTGCTGCTGAGGAATAAAGAAAGAGATAAAGCCTAATAAGAGCCTCCGTGTCCTTTAATAAAATTAATCTTTACCTGTTTCGGATAATCCTAAACGGAACTGATTGCGCAGTGCTATATCATTCCATTGTGTTTCCGAAGCCCATCTTTTGAACTCAGCTATATAATCTTCCACAGGACGATTTCTTTGGTGTAAAGATCTAATACTAAGATCAGCATTAGCTTGTTTAGTTTTGTCCTAATAGAGAAAGTGACATTGCCTCAGTGAAATCATCTAATTAATCCAGTATGGGATCCTCATTTTCCAGAAAGGAATGTGCCCAGGACATAGGTTCTCCCCTTAGGTAAGATATTATTGAACAGACTTTAATCCTGTCAGTGGGGTATGACCTGGGTTTAAGCGTAAACAATAATTTACAAGAATTCAGAAATTCTCTATATTTGGAGCGATCTCCATAAAACTTTTCAGGACTGCAGACAGCAGGGTCACTTGAAGAATGAGTAACCTTATTTTGCATTTCTCTAATGTAAGAAAGAAGTCTCTCATTAGCAAATTGCAAATCCTGCATGCCTTGAGTGAGCATGTCAACTCTATGGGTTAAAGAGGTAATTTGGGAATAGTGATGTCGCGAACCCGAAATTTTCGGTTCGCGAATGGCGAACGCGAACTTCCGCAAGTGTTCGCGAACCGGCGAACCGCCCGTAATGCCATTGACTTCAATGGGGAGGCGAATTTTAAAACACACAGGGACTCTTTCTGGCCACAATAGGGATGGAAAAGTTGTTTCAAGGGGACTAACACCTGGACTGTGGCATGCCGGAGGGGATCCATGGCAAAACTCCCCATGGAAAAATTGGCACAGTTGATACAGAGTCTGGTTTTAATCCATAGCAGAAATCACCCAACATTCCCAAAATCACATAACTGGCATGGAGAGCCATACCCGACATATGACATATTGACACCTTGACATATGCGATTGACACTCCGTCCTCAGAGCCCCCTGATGCACACGGACGAATTGTGAGACTGGTCCCCCAGGGCCAGATTTGTTCAGTGGGCCTGGTGCTGACAATTATGACGGCCTAATTGGCGAACCGCGCGCTCACTAAAACAGTAAAACACTCCCAAGCGCCATGTATCTGATGGAGATGGTGCTGGAGAGAAAGAAAACAGCAGCTATAAGAAAACACATACCCTAGGCTAATCTCTCACTAATTTATGTTTTCATCTTTCAAGTAAATCCATAACCCCTAACAGCAGTGTCCAGTCAAGCAAGAAGTCAATGGGCACGGTAAAAGGGTGCGCCACTGACACAAATCACATAACCTGCCAAAAGTGGCGAACATGCCCAAAAAGAGGATATGACTGCCAAAAGAATTAGAAGGCCAGCCTGGTATGAATGCATGTCTGGCTGCCTGCCAATCATGCAGCTGGCCAACTAAGGGCATACTATGCAGACAGCACCCTGAGCTTGGCATAAATGCATCTAATGATGCGCTCGCTTAATGCTTTCTAAGGACTGTCCCCTAGCACTCGCTGGTCCACTTGTCTCCTTACCTTCTTACTAGCAGGCAGAAGCTCCTGGTATATAGTCTGGGACAGAGAAAAACTGTATGTAGTGAGTGTAGAAGAAAGGGAACATGCCACAGTGTTAGAGAGACCAAAGTCAGCATTACCTTAAAGGATCACTATAGGGTCAGGAACACAAACATGAATTCATGACCCTATAGTGTTAACACCACCACCTAGCCCCCCTGGGCCCCTCATACCTCCATAAATATAGCAAAATCTTACTGTATTCAAGCCTGAAGCTGTTAGACTCAGAAAAACAAGCAGTCTGCTGACATCATTAGAAGTGATGGCCTAATCCAATTATAGTGCTTTCCTATAGGATTGACTGAGACTGACAAAGAGGCAGATCAGGGGCAGAGCCAGCATGATTCAAACACAGCCGTGGCCAATCAGCATCTCCTCATAGAGATGAATTGAATCAATAAATCTCTATCAGGAAAGTTCAGTGTCTGCATGCAGAGGGAGGAGACACTGAATGTTTGGATGCATTTTAGGCAGCCATGACCCAGGAAGGATCTCTAACAGCCATCTAAGGAGTGGCCAGTAAAGTTATCACTAGGCTGTAATGTAAAGACTGCATTTTCTCTGAAAAGACAGTGTTTACAGCAAAAAGCCTGACGGTAATGATTCTACTCACTAGAACAAATTCAGTAAGCTGTACTTCTGGTGACTCTAGTGTCCCTTTAACTATATTCATTGTCAGCCAGTCCACACAAGTTTTGTTCCCATACATCCCTCTTAAGTTTCCATACTTAAGTAAGAGTATGTGAAAAGTAGTTAGGGTTGCCACCTTTCTTGGAAAAACATACCTGCCTTGCTAATTTGCATAATTAAATATGTATGGGTGACATCACATGATTTAAGTCACAAGGAGTGATATAAGAGAAAATGCTGTAAAATCACCAAAAAACAACTTAGTTTGATTCTGCTGTATAGATGGATTCCTCCTAGTGGCCCCATGTCTCCCAGTGCCCCCATGTGTCGATTACTCCAGGTCTCAGTGTTCCTATGTATCAGTGTCTCAGTGCCCCATGTTTCCCAGTGTCTCCTAGTGTCGTGTCCCCAGGTCTCCCAGTGATCCTATGTATCACAGTGTCTCACTGCCCCATGTCTCCCTGTGTCCCCATGTATCCCAGGGTCCCCATGTCACTAGGAAGACGGGAAGACCTGGGGACACAGGGAGACCTAGGGACACGGAGACACCAGTGACACTGGGAAACTCGGGGACTCTGGCTGGGACGCATGGGGACACTGGGAAAATAGGGGACGCTTGAAGACATGGGGACATAGACACCAAGGACACAGACACTAGAGACACTGACTGGGGGACATGGGGACATTGAGACATGGGGGCACTGGGAGACATGGGGACAAGGAGACACCAGGGCCACAGACACTAGGGACACTAGCTTGGAGACATGGGGACATGGAGGCACTAGGAGACATGGGGACAGTGAGACATTGGCAGACTGGGGGCATTGGGAGACTAGGGGGCACTGAGACACCAGGGACACTGGCTGGGAGACATGGGGATACTGTGTCCCCATGTGTCTGTGTCATAATGTCTCCCAATGTCCCTTAGTGTCTCAGTGTCTGCCATAATGTCTCCCAGTGTCCCTTAGTGTCTCAGTGTCTGCCATAATGTCTCCCAATGTCCCTTAATGTCTCAGTGTCTGCCATAATGTCGCCCAATGTCCCTTAGTGTCTCAGTGTCCGCCATAATGTCTCCCAATGCCCCTTAGTGTCTCACTGTCCGCCATAATGTCTCCCAATGTCCCTTAGTGTCTCAGTGTCTGCCATAATGTCTCCCAATGTCCCTTAGTGTCTCAGTGTCTGTGCCATAATGTCTCCCAGTGTCCCTTAGTGTCTCAGTGTCTGTGTCATAATGTCTCCCAGTGCCCCTTAGTGTCTCAGTGTCTGCCATAATGTCTCCCAATGTCCCCATGTCTCTCAGTGTCTGCCATAATGTCTCCCAGTGTCCCTTAGTGTCTCAGTGTCTGCCATAATGTCTCCCAATGTCCCTTAGTGTCTCAGTGTCTGCCATAATGTCTCCAAGTGTCCCTTAGTGTCTCAGTGTCTGCCATAATGTCTCCCAGTGTCCCTTAGTGTCTCAGTGTCTGCCATAATGTCTCCCAATGTCCCTTAGTGTCTCAATTATTCTCAGAATTTTTGTACTTTCCCTATCCCACTTACTTCCCTGAGCTGCTTGGGCTGTCTTTGCAGGGGTGGGAGTTGCTGTCTGGACTACTCTGTAGCTGCACCCCTGCAGATCAGTGAGTATAGATAGGCAGGGAGGGATATGCTGGAACTTCCTATCCCTGCCTCTCTCCATACACGGTGACCCCTACTGGCCAGTGCTGGTATTGCAGAGTAATCTCTTGTTTATACTGAGAAAAATACTAGCATTTGTATTGCCAGTATCACTGCAATATTGGCACCAGCCAGGCAGCCTCAAATACTGGCTGTGCCAATAAAATAAAAGCCAGGTGGAATCCCTAAGAGTAGTGTGTGGAAAAAAAAATGTAAAAAAAAAAAATATATATATATATTTTTTTTTTAAATCAATGGGCCTATTCCATGGGCCTGGGCCTGGAGCTGCAGCTCCATCAGCCCCTATGTTAATCCGGCCCTGCTTTCAGTCTGGGGCCCTGGCTGACAGAGAGAATCTGCACGTATTGATTGGTACCTGAGACTCCCTGCTGTAAACATGGATTTAATCCTTCTTAAACCAAAATGCTAGGACATGTCATTACATCCAAATGGAGTTAAAATCCAGTATAGTTAGGACATAATGAAAGATGTTAAAGAAACTTGTTAGTGAAAACTGCAACCAAGGAAAAATGTTAAAGGATCACTATAGGCACCCAGACCACTTCATCTCAATGAAGTGGTCTGGGTGCCAGGTCCATCTAGGGTTAACCCTGTCACGATTCGGGGAACCCAACACGCTGGCACACACACACACACACACAAAA